TGATTGTATCTCGAAAATTTCGTAAGTAGGGGCGTTCGTAAGTAGAGGTACCACTGTACTTGCTTCTATAACTGGGACAGAACTGAAAACAGGCAATGTCTGTTTCAGACCTTTGTGTGATAATTTGCCTGTTCTTTTATTTTCTGCCATTGGAGTGATTCCAATTTTAAAACAATTTTTTTTTAAGCTGACTCTTGTCAAAAATAATATAATAATTAGTATTCTAACTAGTATTGTTGAATGTAATTTGAAATATTAGAATATGTCTTCTGTAACTTTGATGACTGATCTACTTCATGTATATGGATATGCAGTTGAGTGTATATGTTAGGGTTCGCAAACATCTTGTCTTCTGTCTTTATTCCTCATCAGGTTCTCCTCCATGCCATGATTTGCTCATTGTCTAACATTTTGCTAATATAGTGAATTTGAATGTACTGTATTTTGCTTACACTGAAATCCTGAACGAGTGTTGGTCTTTGCACACTTTATACAAAAGTGTCCCCTCTTTCTCCCAGAAGCCGCCCTCTCTTTACATGGTCTACAATAAGTAAGAGCCATCCATTTACAAAGTCTTTCTGAAATAATAAACTTGTCCAGTCTTGTAATGTCAATCTGGGCCATTATAGCCTCCAAAGTGTATAATTTGGTTAGTGCATATATTTTCAGAGTTCAGTTTTAAGCTGTTACATTCTCTTTTTCTTCTCAGAAAGATATAATTCTTCACTGAAAACATCTAATGGCCACCAGTCTAAGTCGTAAGTATGGCTATAATTCTGAGTAAACATAAACTAGTTAGCAGTGGCCATATCATTTGATACAGATACTGTTGCAAGATATTTGAGTTTGCTATGCCTAGGTGTACTTGTTTCTGAATAATTCACTTCACTTATAAGAATGAAGTCTGTCCTGAAGAACAGGAAATGACTCTGGCCTACATTTCCATAATTTTTATTGGCTTTAGTAAAGTAGTAACATGTCCTTTCTGTCAGGCTCAATGTTCATTCAGTTTTCTTGGCAGCAGTATGGAAATGGTTGGAATAGGATGTTTTTCACTTCCAGTCCAGCCTATTGCCCTGATGTTTGCTGGGGGTCTCCCATTTAAATACTAACCAGGCCCAATCCTTCTTAGATTCCAAGGCCAGACTAAATCAGCCAGATGTTGTCACCTGTTTTGAGTTACTGATCTTAGTAGCCTTACTGAGTCTTCCAGCCTCTTAGGCCCGCCCATTCCTCCTTGTCCCCACTCCTTATCTTGCTGTGCTTTTGTGTGTATGATCAAGGACATTCTGGTTGAGATTGAGGCATTCCAATGGTTTGGCAGTCCAAACACAATTGTATTGCTGATATTTCCTATTTCTGCTCTAGACTTAGAATTGGAGAAGATGGTAAAGAATTGTTTGAGGGGTAAATACCGTTTGAATATTTTAATGGGTCAACTTTAAAACAGCAATCTCAGACTTCCTCTCCAGGAACCTCTTTGTAGTTTTACTGTAAGTGGAGTGCAGTTGCAGGGATGATCCCATTTTCTTCCCAGCTTGAACTGGAGAGGACAGAAGAGGTACCCCCTTACCACACAAACATGGTGAGCAGGTTTTGGGGTTCTACTAAAACTTTAGGAGTTTAAAGACAAACATCCCTAAAATTATTTAGAAACATTCTCAAATGCTGCTTCTGATTGCCAGCTGTTCAAACCACATAGAACTTATGACAGTAAGCCATGTAATTGGTGTCTTATATTAAGACCTTCAAACTGATATGTCTCATATGCAGTCTGCAGCAGTTACAATTCATTTCTTTACCTTTAGCATCTTTTCTGCTGCATGTGTAGGTCTAGTCTGAATGTAATAAAATATCACTCTCAATCTAATTTTAATTTTTAGTTTGAAGTCTTTTAGCTTGAAAACATTTAATCCAATTTCTGTTTCTATTCCAGATCCGAATCGAACCAGACCAAGTAAGATACCATGTTTGTTACAGTGGTATTGTTTATTTAATTTAATGTCTTACTTTTTAAAAAATGAATATTTTGTTCAGATTTAGTTATATGTAAAACATTCAAATCCCAGGTCTTGAATTTTCAAAATAAAGCATGAAAAAATAAAGTATGAGTTAATAACTTTTAATTCAGTTTAAAAAGTTGCAACAATTCCTAAATTGTGAATCTAAAAATAGATTTTAGCTTGCTACCTGCTGCATCAGTTTTTAGTTGAGATCTTGTATAAAGGTGTATTTAGTGATGCTAGTTACTTATCATATTATAATTGTTGGAACAGCAATTATTAGAGTCTCTGTTCAGCATTTTCCCAATCTATTATTGACTGACTTTTTAATGTTGATTAAGTGTGGTCTATTGCAGCATCTAGACTTGATTGTAATATAGGGCTTCATTCATACTAGTTAGCATGTAGTCTACTGAGTATTGGATTTTTGCAAGTAATGGTTGCATTTTCAGAATAATTATTGACTTTGATAGCAGCATTGCACTATTGCAGTTGGGATCCTTATCCTTTCTAACATAGAGAGGAGTCTACTTAATGCAATTCCTTAATTTCTAGTTCACCCTGTGCTAATTTTCTATATATTTTTAATTTCCACCCTGCAAATTTACTAGTTCAAGTACTAGTATTGTAAGTCCTTAGTATGCTTCTTGGAGTACTACTTCAGTTTGATAATAAAGGAAAATTAACAGTATCATGATATGGTGTATCTGATAATTTTTTAACAATACTGTTCCTCCCCCTCCCCCTCCCCCTCCCTCCCTCCCTCCCTTCCTTGTTTCTGCCTAGTGTTCTGATAAATGATCTGAAACTCAGCAGCAGTGAAGACAGTGATGGTGAACAGGTTATTATTATTACTATTAATTTCTCTTCTTTTTACTCACTATTTGAAGAGCCTTGTGACATAATCAAAATAATGTAATATAAACACAAAATTTAAATAACTCCAAAGGAAGGCAAGAATAAAAACTAAATTAAAACACAATTTTAAATTGCAGCACAGTTAAAATCTTTGTTCTATAAAAGCCTATCTAAATAATACCTTCATTACTTACCCCAAAAAAAGATAGTGAAGCAGTCAGGCACACTTCCATGGCTCAGTTGAAAAAGCCGTCACATGGCTACCCAGCCTTTTCCTTCAGTGACAAATCTTTGAAGTGGGACTAAAGTCCTTGACAGCTCATATGATGTGTTGGTTTATAAAGTATTCAGTTCTTCGGGTTGCCTTCAAGGGCAGTCACATGTAAAGCACGTTAGTGTACTCTAACTTGGACATGGTGAAAACATAAATGATCAGGTCTGAATTAAGTAAGGTTACAGTTGTCACATTAAGCAAACTTGATTGAAAGCACTCCTGGGCACTTTCAGCTGGCGATGTTTTGGTTTTTTTAAAGAATATTCCTCTGCACCTGTGTAGAGTCGTAAATATAGATGTACTCAAAAACTCCTTTATTGGTATGTTTAAAGTAGAAATGAGAAATTCAAGGCATGTAGGCTGCATGTACCCCAACATCTCATTTTGCAGCTCCAGAGCATCCTAGTATGTGACTGACATTTGGCAGTAGGAACGCTGATTTTCTGCATAATGATTTTCCCTTTATTTTACACTCTAGGGATGCAAAAAAGTGCAAAGAACTCTGTAAGGTTAAGCACACCAATATTAAATGTTAATCAATTGTCCAAGCACCCTCCCTCCCAAAAAAACAGAAAAAAAGCTGAAAATTTTTGTTCTCTCTCACATGACATCATTCCATTACAGTGCAGTAAAGTTTCCACCATAGCTACAAGAGTAACTTACAGATAGTAGGACTGTGCAGTGCTTTAGGTTCAGCTGGAAGCGGTGCTTCACAGGGCATAGGAACATAAATCCAGTCCCTGTCTAATGCATTAAAGCATTAAAGCAGGTTTGTCTTTCTCCAGGAAGGCTGATTTGCAGTAGGGATTTGCTGTAGGGAGACTTCCTGCCCAATCATATAAGCAGATGTCCCTGCATTATTGGGTCACAAATAGGTGCTATGTTCATACCCCTGTGCTTTCCAAAGCACCTCTTCCTATTGGAATCAAAGGTGTTGCACAGACATGATAGGACACAAGAATGTAATAAATTGTATCACTAGCAAAAAATATCATAGTGGACATTATAAAAAGCCTGGAGAACTTGTTTAATCAAGCGTTAAGAAAATAAAGTTAGTGTGAGGTGAATTTTTCATGGCAGATGAAGTAGTACAATTAGAAACATTATGCTGCTTTCTGTCATTTACTTTATTTCAAGTAAAACTTTAAAAATTAAAAACCAGCAGTGGGATTGTAAATGGATCTGCTTCAGGTAACAGTCACAGGAAGAAAAGCTGGGTTATTTTGAGGAAAAATAATATATATACAAATGTATGATATATCAATTCACATACGAAGTGTGAAGTAGTATATCCCATTTAGATTATGGGTCAAGTTTACACATCTAATTTCAGATTGCATTCCTTAGTTTCCATTTATATAGATGATCTGTCTTTATCCATGTCATAAACTACTATTAAATCTATGGATTAAGAGACGCCTAGAGTGCCACTGGAGGAAAACAAAGACCGAATACGACCACAGGCTAGAGCCGCTATTAAGGCCTACCTTGTGGTGGTAAGATCGGTGAAACACCAATATTTCTCCGCTCTAATTGCATCCGCAGAATGCCGCTCAGCAGCCCTGTTTAAGATCACCCGATCCCCTTTTGGGAAAGGGGCCCAGTGGACCATTTACAGGGCCACGCAGAGGAGTTTTCTGGGCAGCTGGAGGATAAAATCGCTCGCATCCAGTCCCAGTTGGATGCCAAGCATGAGGCATGATCTGTAGAGATGCCCAGGGTATGGACTTACCCTGTTATCTGGGAACAGTTTGATCCTGTTGAACTCGAGGGAGTGGACAGGGTCCTCCGGACAGTCAATGCCACCACTTGTCAACTAGATCCATGCCCCTTCTGGCTGGTTAAGGCTACTCGGGAGGTGACATGTGGGTGGGTCCAGGTGATGGTGAATTCATCCTTGAGGGAGGGAGTGTTTCCAGTGGCCTTTAAAGAGGCGCTGGTGCATCCCCTCCTCAAGAAGCCATCACTGGATCCCACCATATTGGAGAATTTTCGTCCAGTCTTCCACCTCCCCTTTTTAGGGAAGGTGATTGAGAAGGTGGTGGTGTTACAGCTCCAGAGGATCCTGGAAGAAACAGATTATCTGGACCCTTTTCAGTCAGGTTTCAGACCTGGATTCGGGACAGAAGTGGCATTGGTCACATTCATGGATGATCTCTGGCGGGAGTGGGATGGAGGTAGTGCATCCATCCTTGCTCTTCTTGACTTCTCAGCGGCTTTCAATACCATCGACCATGGTATTCTTTTGGGTCAGCTTAGGGAGTTGGGAGTGGGCGGCACAGTTTTGTGCTGGTTCTCTTCCTTCCACCAAGGTCGATCCCAGTCGGTGTTGATTAGGAGCAAGAGATCCAGCCCACAGCCCCTCCATTGTGGGGTGCCACAGGGTTCGGTACTCTCTCCACTCCTTTTTAACATCTACATGAAACCACTGGGTGAGATCATCCACCACTATGGAATGAGGTATCATCAATATGCAGATGATACCCAGTTATACATCTCCATCCTGGCTGACTTGAGTAATGCCGTGACCACCCTTTCGTGGCGCCTGGAGGCTGTGGGGGTCTGGATGGGGAACAACAGGCTTCAGCTGAACCCTGGTAAGATGGAGTGGCTGTGGATTGGAGGCCTTTCTGAATCTGAGAATTTACCATCTTTGGTTTTGGAAGGGGTTGCACTGCCCCAGACAGACCTGGCGCATGATCTGGGGTCCTCCTGAACTTAAGACTCCTGCTCAAGGAGCAGGTGGCAGTTGTGGCCAGGAGGGCCTTTGCCCACCTTCGTGTGATGCACCAGTTGCACCCTTTCTTGGATCAGGAGGCTCTCCAGTCAGTCACTCCCACCCTGGTCATCTCTCGATTAGACTATTGCAATGTGTTCTACGTGGGGCTACCCTTGAAGAGTATCCAGAAGCTACAACTGGTTCAAAATGTGGCCGTGCGGACAATCTTGGGAGCCCCAAGGATATAACACCTTTACTGTGGGAGCTGCATTGGGTGCCAGTTTGCTTCCAGGTCCAATTCAAGGTGTTGGTTATCACCTTTAAAGCCCTACATAGCATGGGTCCAGGTTACCTGAGGGACCATCTCATCCCCATCACATCAGCCTGTCCCACTCGGTTAGGCAGAGAGGGCATGTTGCGGACCCCATCAACGAGGGAGTGTTGGTTGGTGGGGCCTAGGAGGAGAGCCTTCTCTGCCGTTGCCCCTACCCTTTGGAATATTCTCTCCCCAGAGGTGTGGTGGGCCCCTCCTCCTCGGCTTTCTGGAAAGGACTAAAGACCTGGCTCTGCCAGCTTGCATGGGGTGATAAGAGCTCTAATCGATCCTGGGGGTGGCTGGCACCCTGATGATGCTCCCTGAGCTACTCGCCAATTCCATCGTTTCTTGGAATTTATTTATTATTTATTTAAGACTGTTTTTACATTGTACTTTAATTGATGTTATCTGTTCTGTAAACTGCCCAGAGTTGCTTTTTAATGAGATGGGCGGTGACAAATTTGATATATAAAAATAAAATAAAATATTACCATACCCTTAATCAGTGCTAATCTGCATTTTTTCTTTACTTACAGGAGTTTGATAAGACAGTACCAAGAGGCACACCTGGAAGGTTTGTAGATTTAGTATCTGGCAAAATGCAGTATTTGTTTGTTTGTTTGTTTGTTTGTTTATATTTCAAATTTAGACACTGCCTATCTTGCGAGGTTATATTAAAGTAATATGTACGATAGCTGCATATAATCTACTTTTGAGAATTATGTTTGAAGCAAGAGCCAGTGGAACTTTGCCTGCAAATACAGCCCTTTTCATGGTTGTTAGTTACTTGATCTTCAACCTATGGATACTATTCTAAGATTTTAAAATCTTCTTTTTTCTTTTCTCCTAGTAATTCTGAGCCTTCCCAGCATACAAGTGAAGGAGCAGATAATTCTAGGGATGACTCCAGCAGCCATAGCGGATCTGAAAGCAGTTCTGGTTCAGACTCTGAAAGTGAAAGTAGTTCCAGTGACAGTGAGGCAAATGAGCCATCTCAAAGTGCATCTCCCGAGGTACGTTTCTTTTCTCCCTTTCGAAGAGTGTTATGCCAGCAACTGTGACCTTAACTGTCCTCTGGTATTTTAATAAACAGCAATAGCTGTTTATGTTACATACTTATGAAGTAAATTAATTTGTTTATACAGATAATCTGTTTGCAGTGAAAACCTACCTAGCTCAGGACCATGCGTAACATCATTCTTTCTAACAGCAAACATAGTCAGATGCTTATTCAGCGTAGAACCAAAATGTTACTGGTGATTTCTGTTTACTCTGAGGATGTCCAAAATTTGCCGAAGTAAATGTGTTCAATTTATTCTGTTTATTTTTAATTCTGCAAAATGTACCATATTGTAAACTAAGCTTCCTATGGAATGTTGAGAAACCTACAGTAGCACAATTCTTCTTGTTCCATGGGAATGGAATCCCCAAATTTACATTAAGCACCAAAGGCAGGAATTCTTGGGTGAATTGATTAACTCTGTACTTAAGATACAAACTGTTACATTGATAGTTATAAAGAAGGAAATAAGATTGTAGGATGCAGATGGCATTGAGCTGATCAAACAATGGTTTATCTTCTGGAGGGAGAGTGGATTAGAATTTGTGTGTGCATGTACACACACCTTGATGATTTAAAAATGTCATCCTTGTAGTATAGAGTACAGGGATATTCCAGAATGAAGGAAAGTAAAAATGTTTTTCCTTTTCCATTCTTCAGAATGATGATCACCTTCCTGTCTGCTTATTTATTTAAAGTGCTATATCAACTGTTGTATGGCATATCCAAGCTGCTGAAAATGTTATATTTTAAAAAGTGTATTATAAGTAACAAAACAAGTGTTAAAATGATTAAATCATCATGGTTGGGGTTGACAAGAAACTAGAGATCTGAACTGCAAAATGAAACTTCTGTACTGGGCTAGCTGAGCCCCTAGAAACACCCCTCTTAGCAGAGGGGGATACGCTGCTGGTTTGTGTCATTTATTACTGCATCAGCCATTGCGTGTGATACTGAATCTGCTTGCTTGAAAAGAGCAGCACTTCCTTCCAGATAGCTGATATGAATTGTCAGCTGAATTCTGTAATTCTGCTGCATCTCCTGGTTGAGAAATCTAGCATGTTATGGCAGCCCTCCTTCTCAGTTCTAGATGATTCTTTTTTGAAATTTGGATGCTGCCATAGCCCTTGTGCCATACAAGAGAAGGGAACAAAATAATGGAGAGCCAAGCTCTCCCTTCTGATTTTCAGGCTGTATTCATATAGAATCTTGACATTTGGGTTTTCCTTTTTTCTTCTTTAGCCTGAGCCACCTCCAACAAATAAGTGGCAGCTTGACAACTGGCTAAACAAGGTGAACCCACACAAAGTATCACCAGCTTCTTCTGTTGACAGTAACATCCCATCAACTCAAGGTTACAAAAAAGAGGGAAGAGATCAGAGCACAGGGGGAGGATATGCAGACCAAAGTGGATCAAAGGATTCCATATCCTCCACACCCGGGAGAGATTCAAAAGCCAGCCAGAAAGCATCAGAGAGCAGTCGTGGTCGACAGAAGTCACCTGCTCAAAGTGACAATGTGATCCAAAGGAGGACTGTAGGCAAAAAACAACCCAAAAAAGCAGAGAAACCATCAGTGGAGGAGCCCAGAGGAGGCCTGAAAATAGAAAGTGAAACCCCACTGGACATCGCGACAAGCATACCCTCTAACAGGCATAAGGCAGCCACAAAAGGCCTTAGAAAACCAAACATAAAGAAGGAGCCTAAACCGTCCCCTCGGCCTACCACAGAGAAAAAGAAATGCAAGGTGGCAAACAAATCCACCCAGAAATCTAAAGAATTCATTGAAACAGATACCTCCTCCTCTGATTCTGATGAGAATGAGAGCCTGCCTCCTTCATCACAAACCCCCAAATATTCTGACAGCAATAGGACTCCTGTTAAACCCTCCATGGAGGAGGATGACAGTTTTTTACGGCAAAGAATGTTCTCTCCTATGGAAGAGAAGGAACTCCTTTCACCACTCAGTGATCCTGATGAAAGATATCCCCTTATTGTGAAGATTGACTTGAGCCTCTTAACCAGAATACCAGGGAAGCCTTACAAAGAGACAGACCTATCAAAATTAGAGAGGAAAAATGTGTGTGAGAAGCATCCAAGGGAACCCCAGAAAATAACTTCTGACAAAAGTTCAAACAAGGGCAGAAAAAAGCATAAATTATGTCAGGTCAGTTTTCAGCATGAAGATCTAAACTTGTTATCAGAACTGAATGCTTAATAAAGTAGTTTATTAAGCCTTTATCCAGAGGTTATTTAGTGTTATCTCAGCTTAATGTACCTCACAAGGTTGTTGTAGAGAAAAATAGGAGGAGGGAGTACTGTGCCTTGAGTTCCTAAAGGTGATATATAAGCCAAAGAAATAAAATGTTAAATGTTCACAAATAAGTGCTCACGTTCCACCAATAATAAAAACAGCAGCAACAACTATTAATTACAGTATTGATTACAAGCTTGATACAAGGTCTAAAAGCGTGGTTTAGATGTATGTATATAAGCAGGATGGAATAGTAGATTATAGTATAGTCTTTATGGACATAGTGTCCATACCCTACATTACCCACATTACTAAAGGTGGTAATCTTTGTTTTACTTTTTTAAAATAATTGCATTAATTTTATTAAGCTTCAAGAACATTGCAAGTCATATTTCTTTTAAAAAAAACTTTAGGAGTAATACATAAATAGGTAGGTAACTTAGGGTAGGTAGGTAGGTAGGCTTCTTCCTGTCTACCATGTAGCCTCATATTCCTATGAGGTTTCTTTTTTTGAATTATTTTATTATATAATAATACATTTGTATAGTTATATTGCTATACAGATAGTCCTTGACTTATGACCACAATAGGGACTGGAAAATTCGTTAAGTGGTGTGATTGTTAAGCGAGGCATCACATGACCGCGCCTGATTTTACATTTTTTGTGGCAGTTGTTAAGCAAATCACCGCAGATGTTAAGTGTTTCCCCATTGATTTTGCTTATCAGAAGCCGGCTGGGAAGGGCGCAAATGGTGATCACATGACCCTGGGATGCTGCAACTGTTGTAAATACATGCTGGTTGCCAAGCACCCAAATTTTTACCTAAGTACATGCTGGTTGTAAGTCACTTTTTTCAGCACCATCATAACTTCGAACAATCGCTAAATGAATGGTCGAAAGGGAGGCCTACCTGTATAATCTTTATTTCATTTTAATGAGAAGATATATATTTTCAGATCTGATTTACTATTTATACATTATTAATGATCACAGGAATGCTTTGACTTTGGAGGGGAAAAGGTCCTTTGAATCATTCTGGAACAATGTAATAGCTGCAAAGGGCAGCTATGTGACCTGGGGAAAATATACAGCTGCTTCAATGAGTTCCTGACAGATGCCATATGAGCCTTTCTTATAGCACCTTTTTCCCTTTGAAGCCAAAGTGCTGCGTAGCCCTACTAATTTCTTTCTTCATTGTTTTGTTTGTATGGTTATGAAAGACCTAACATATATGTTCCAAAAACAGCTTGATAATACAAACATTCTTTTTACATGCTTTCTGAAACATCTATTAGTATACTAAATAGGAATGGAAATTTCTATTTTTAGGAAATGCTGTTATCAGCTTAGCAAGAACTGTAGTCATTTTGACAGTCTGTGGTTGATAAAAAGTGAGGAGTCACATTTGTTTACATTTATCAAATTAAGCAGCACTTCTCACATGGGTGGACTACAGCATCATCAGTGTATTTCATCTCATAATATTAGTAAATACAATTATGAGGAATTATTGGTAGGCTTGTAAAGGAATGAAAGAAATAGCAATGGGTGAGTTGGTTGACAGCTTATTTTATAAAAGGCAACTCAGCCTAAATGGGGAGAAATCTGGGAAAAAAACAACTCAAAGTATTTAAAGGAACTCAACCTTAATATAACTCACTAAAAATGAGGCTGGGAAATGCCTATTATAATTTCCAAGAATTTGTATTTACCCCAGATGAGCATTAAAGCTACCTTCTTGAAATCTGGGGGGGTTTTGCTTCTTGGTCTTGCCCAGCTACACAACTATTGAGGAAAGCTATTTTGCCAAGATTGTTGTTATAACTCATCATATCATCCCAATGTTGTCAGTGGCTTCTTTAAGAATTATAACAATCTACAAAAACCAGTATAGTTATTTTATATGAGATTATTAAAGTTTATCCTGGTGATTCTCTCTCAAATGTTCTGTCACAGAATGCAGAAGACAGCAGAGGCACTGAAAGCAAGAAAACTAAACTGGAAGAAAAACCTTCTTCAGCACACAAGACCTCTAGTAATAGAGAGTGAGTAACTTTCCAAACTATAGTATACAAGTACATGGTGTAAGCGCATTCTTATGTACTTGGGTTTCTAGTTCTCGTTTCATCTAGGGATCAGCCAATTTTTAATTTCTTTAAAAATTCAGTTATATAGTATTGTTTGAACAAGCACTGATGCCAAGTTTATCTTCTTACATCTTTAATATTTCCATTGCAGTTTTTAATTCTTTGGGAGATAATTTTTAAGAGATACTATTTCAAATATTAGGGCATGTGCATTTTTCTGGATTATGGAATATTTTATTTGGAGACTTCAGTAGAGTGCTTCCAGCTGCTATGATGTGCCTAGGACTTTCCATATAGTTTATTTTATTTTTTATTTGTTTATTATTATTTTTTAACTTCCCAATAGCCAAAGATCTTGGGCAGTTTACAATATAACACACCAGAACAAAATCAATTTGAGTAAAACATCTGTACCATTTTTCTGTATTCGCTCTTATTAAATTTGATTTACAGGGGCAAATTTTAAAAAAAGCTTTCTGAGCCTCTGCTGCTTCTCTATTCACTTATAGTTTCATATTGAACCATTGTTTCATGCATAATACCTGCTTCCATTCTGGTATTATGCATGAAACAATGAGAGTTTTGGTTAGATGAAAAGAAGTAGTTCAGGTTGAGCTATATCTATATCACAACATCCTGAAGAAAGGATTAAGGCAAGGATTAGGAAAGATGGAATCTTTTGTGATTTTGGCATCATCATCATCACCACCACCACCACCACCACCCTTGGACATTTGCAGCTATTTTTTTGCTCAGCCTGAGATATTGTGTCAGCCTAAAGCCCGTTCTCTTTCTCAAATATAATCGTTTGATCAAATGAACTCATTGCTTTGGAGCGGATGAGGCAAAAGAGTGAAAAGTTTCCTTTACATAAAAGTAAGTACAAAATCTTTAATTCTGTTTTCTATTTTATTTTGGGAGGACAGATCTTCAAAGCAAAGTGCTGTTAAAGAGAAGGATCTTCTCCCATCTCCAGCCACAACTTCAGCTGCTGCAAAAGATCCAAAGCAAGAGCATGGGTCTCGGAAGAGAACTATCAGTCAGTCTTCTTCCTTGAAATCAGGCAGCAACAGTAATAAGGAGAGTAGCAGCACTAAAAGTAGCTCATCTAAGCAAAAGAAGACTGAAGGAAAGGCCTCAAGTAACACTAAAGAAGCAAAGGTACAAACCTTCAATTACCGATTATCCTTTGTTTTTGCTATCCTTAATCTTGTGTGAAATCAAGCACACATAAGCTTCATTAAAAAGAAATGTTCCTGTACTAAAACTCAGACCTGCCACTAGTCCTGTTCCTAATACTGCAGGCACTTGGTTGCCTTACATGTCATGTCTTTCTGTACATCACAGATACCCACAAGGGTAAAACAGATATGTGCACGTGATTTGGAACTTTGCACCATTTGAGTTCCTAATTGCGTACATGCCCAACACCTCCTCCCTGCAGATGTTTGAGCTGAGTCTAAGATGTTAAGGAAACAGATGAGGGTTGTGTGGATAATGTTGAGGGCTAGGCTAATTGATATGGTCCCAATTAATGCTGGTGACATTCCTAAATAAGATTATATTTTCACAGCAGAGATTTTTTGTTAATTAGTGATCAGCCTTTGATTAATAGGAAAATACAGTAGTAGCAAAACTGTAGATCGCTGTAGAAACTGAGATGAACTTAGGAATGGAATAGCTGAATATTTACAGAATATTTACAGATGAATATACAGATGCAGCCAAAAGTATTGGTATCCGTCCTCTTTTCCCCCAAAAATCCCAATTTGCTGTGAAATAAGACACAAGTAAATGACATCCAGAATATGATTTTGTCAGTTTTGCAAATTCTTCTAGTACTATTTCTAGATGAAAAGCTTTTTAAATACAGTTTATTAGAAAGAAAAAACAGACTTAAATAGGATGAAGCCCATCTTTTCCCTTCAAATGAAAAACAGTAGGAATGAATCTGAAGAATAAAATGTTATATGCCATATTATTGCATAAGCACAATATTTAACTTTGACTCAGGCCTGTGTAATTTGATCTTTGCTGCATAGTCTTCCTCAACATGTTAGCATATCACTACAGAGATGACAAAGCTTTATAATTATGAGTATTAAATGATGCCAAATAATTGTTGTATTAACAGTCTTTGTGCAAATTATAATAGCAACATTATTAAAATCTCCCCTGCTTTTTATTTTGAATTTGTTGTCATTATGGTAATAGCTGTGTTTGTCAAGTTGGATTTGTGGTAAGCATCTGGGTTGCATTTAACCAGCCTGAACTTGGCAAGTGCAATTCCTCTCCCTCCAAACAATGTTTTAACTAATTGCATTCTCTTTTTTCCAAGGAAAAGGCTTTAAATAATTCTTCAAATTGTCCTTCTGCCTCCACATCAAGTTCTGATAGTTCAAAGTCCCGAAGAGCAAAGCTTGTATTTGATGACAGGTGAGAACAAAGATAAAAACCAGGTGAATGGTTTTGTTGCTAGAATGAGTGTCTGATACCTTAATGGAAACATCTGGGTATAGTTCATGTTAATTTTTTTTCATAAATGTTACTGTAATTTGATAAACAGTGTAGGAGAAGAGCTTTATTAATCCATGGTAGCCAAAAATCCAAAAGAATCTGGGAGTACCTTTTAAGATGAACACATTTTGTAAGCTTTCATGAGCTGCAGCTCACTTCATAGGATGCATGGAAAGGTTTAACTGATGTAGGTGTTAGCTAGGCACCTATTAATGTATGTAAATTCAGCTGTCTCATGCTCTGTTGTGCTGGCCTAGTCTTTCTGTTGCAAAATTTACTGTGAGATCTGTAATACAATGTCCTGAGAGTTTAAAATGCTCTGTTACTACTTTATGCTTGTTCTGAGTCCTGATGTCAGGTTTGTTCCATTAATTATTTTATGCAAGTCTGGCCTGTTTGTCCTACATTGAATCCAGAGGGGCATTGTAGTTTTGTAGTGCAACATTTTTTGGAACATCAGTATAATAAAATATAGGTTATAGTTATTTTTGTTGTATTTTAAAAATTACCGATGTATAAGGTTGTTCCTAGAAGCTTAACAGTTTTTCTGATCTAAGTTGTGATTATATATAATCATTACTAATTTTGCATTACTGTGGAATTAACTCTGAATTGGCATGGTACCATGTCTCAGTAATTTGAACCTGTCTTGCCATCTTAAGAGATATATTTTTTTCTGTGGCAATCTTGCAAAGTTTGACCCAGATGCATTACTCTATATTCATTCAGCCTGAACACATTAATGAAATTGCAGGCAGATAATTGAGTCAGAGCTCAGTCCAGTACATCTGTTCACAGAGATGTACAGATGTACATCTGCTGTACACAGAGTATCTAATGCTAAACATCAGTACAGGAACATCATTTATTTACACCAGTATTCTAAAAGCCCTGCATTGCTAGGCTGGGGAGCTGGGTTATGTTTTGGGGAGGATAGAGGGTTTGTGTTGGTTGGTTGTTTGCTTGTTTTGAGGGCCGGAAGATGACTATATCACCACTGGTTCCTGGCACAGTATCCTAAATGCTGGCAGAAGAGTTTTTGCTCCTAGTACTGGTATAAACGTTTTTTCCCATGCCAAATGAGTGGCAATGTAGGCAGGCTTCTCCATTTTATTTTGCTTTATTTTGTCTCAAATTAAATGTGACATTCTTTGCAATCCATCCTCAAATATACACAAACATCAAATGAGCAGAGCAACAAAGATTAGAAAGCTCCTCTAATTTTATCAGCCTCACAGTATTCATTTTATGTTGCAGAAGCTACTCAGCAGATCACTACTTGCAAGAAGCAAAGAAATTAAAACATAATGCTGATGCATTGGTAAGAAAAACATATTGTCTACTAATTAAATCCTGTTTAGGCAAATTCTTTGACTCTGTCATAAATCTCCATTTAAGACTTTATATTTTTTTAGTCCGACAGGTTTGAAAAAGCTGTTTATTACCTTGATGCTGTAGTGTCATTTATTGAATGTGGGAATGCATTGGAGAAAAATGCTCAGGAATCCAAGTCCCCATTCCCTATGTATTCTGAAACTGTGGAGCTAATCAAGTAAGTGATATAAGACAAGCAATAAATACAATTATCAGAATATGGACGCAATAGGAATTGTACTCCTAATTGATATACTCTAAATACTTGGTTCTAGAGGTGCTATTTAGTTGCCACGATTTGTTTGTTTATTCATTTATAAGACTTATATGGCTGCCCATCTTTTGTACCAAAACCCTGGGTTGCTCACAGAAACAGCAATAAAAATATAAAGAGACAATAAAATCAGCATCAAAAACTCCTGACTTCCCAAAAATAAACACTCCTCCATTCAGTAACATTTACCTTGACCAGGCTTCAACCTCATCCTATCCCAGTGCTTGAGGGAAGAGCCAGTTCTTCAAGGCCTTCTGGAATGCAAGGAGGGTAGTGGCCTGCCAAATCCCAGGAGGGAGGGCATCCCACAGGGCAAGGGCCGCTGTGGAGAAGGCATGCTTTCTAGGTCCCACCAGATGACAACATTTAAAGGAAGGGACCTAGAACGAGCATGCCCATCCTATCTGACCTGGTGGAAGAGGCAAATAGCACAGCACCAGCATTTTGAATTGCACCCTGAAAGAAACTGGAAGCCAGTGCTGCTCGCACAGCAGTGAAGTAAGACAGGCAAACTGTGGGGCACCCAGAACTTCATGCTGCTGCATTCCAGACCAGTTGTAACTTCAGATGGTTTTCAAGGGAAGCTCCATGTAGATTGTGTTGTGATCCAACTGGGAAGTGACTAGGGAGTGAGTAACTGAGCAAGGCCTTCCAGTTGAGGAATGGGCACAGTTGTTGCACAAGATGAATCTGTCCAAAGGCCCCCCTAGCCATGGGTCCCACCTGCTTCTTGAGCAGGAGCTGTGAGTCCAGAAGGCCCCCCAAATTGTGCACTAGCTCTATCCAGGGGAGTACAGCCCCAGCAAGAGTTCAAAGATGGCACCAGATCCAAGGGGACCAAAAATCAAGAGCCACTCCATCTTCCTAGGTTTGAGCTGGAGCTGGTTCCTCCTGTCCAGACTCTCACAACCTCTAGGCACTGGGGCAACCTCTGAACTACGTTGCCTGGCTAGCTAGGTGTGGAGATGTATAACTGGATATCATTGGTTTGGTCTGTAGTTTGTTTTGTGGCCAAAGTAAGGTATTACCTTGTATAGAAATAGTAACTATTTTGCAAGCATTTGCAAAACTAAATATCATTTTAAAAGCTTTCTTAACTCTTTTGTACAATGTCTCCTCCTATATTTAATGTGGCTTTAATAAATGATGAGTGCTTAATATATAAGATCGTTGTATCCTCTAGTCATAAGGCTTTGGGCAAACAGTGCATAAAGTTTTTCATAAAAGTGAAAAAATGACCGTTTTTTAACTTACTTATTATTTGTCTTATTTTTTGGTTGAAGGTACACTATGAAGCTAAAGAATTATTCAGCACCAGATGCAACTGCTGCAGACAAAAGGCTAGCAGTACTGTGGTATGTATACAGAATTGAATTAGAAAGATGAGAATAGCTAGAGACCAAATGTATCTGGGTAGACTTATTTTGTGGGTGGTAAGATAAAGCATAGCTTACTATTTTAGTCTACCTGCTTCGACTGGGAGCAGCATATTACTATCTAAAATGAATAATGTTATTTGGAAAATTGATTTAGGCTAACTTTGCAGAGCCATCCTTTTCTAATTATAAAGCAAAAAAAAGCATACTTAGGTTTTTGATGCTTGCATTTCATTTTAATCTTTATTAAAATTAACTAATTTTTTAAAGAATCTCAGTAGAAGTGTAATTTATTTTTTTCCAGATATGTGAGAATCTTTTATTAACAAATTTCTATAGTAGCATTCTTATTTTTATTAGTCTCAGATGCCAGTCCCTCTTATATTTAAGACTTTTCAAGCTGAAGAAGGAGAGTGCATTAAAGTATTCCAAGACACTGACTGAACATTTGAAGGTAAAAACTTCTGTTTAAAAACTTTCAAGTTGTAATTTGAAAGATTGTCTTTTCAGTGTTCCTAAATGAATGTTATCATTAATATATAATTCAGCAATAATGCTTATGGATACTTTATTGTGTCACTTCTCTAATTATATAGAAGTTTTTACAATTTATTTTGTACTTTACAAAATTGTAAATACAATTTTGTCCAAATTTAGCTTTCATTGCTGCTCCAATTCTGACTGGTGCTGTAATTTTTTTTTAATTGCCTGTTTTAAAGCACTTCATGGTTTGATTTGATTTTTTATTTTTATTGTACAATGTATAATATTTAATCTGCATTTATTTTTAAATTTGTTGGGTTTTCCTAAACAGAATTCCTACAACAATTCTCAAGCACCATCACCTGGTATGGGAAGGTAAGCATTTATTTAATGCCATTGTGTCTTTTCTATGAAGGCGTGAATTAAACAGTAAAAAACTTGAGATGGATATCTGAAATTCAGATCCAGTTTTGAAGCATTATAAAAGCAGTTGTCCTAGATGTCTTTATTTTTTAATTAATTCATGAATTAAACATTTCTTCATGTTTTATTTGACAGAACTTTTCTCTTTTCTCCTGAGTCAGACTTCTTATGTAGAATATTCTGTCAAATTCCCACAAATAAAGGGGAAGGTGATTTTACTTGCAAGATCATATCATCTACCAGAGCAGTAATAGTATCATTATAATACTAATAACATCACTGAACACTTATAAACATGGCTGAATGATTTAAGTAAGAGATTGCACACATGGGCCCCAGTCATAATGTGTTTTTTGGAATAATCACATGTGTGTATGTTTGTTCTGAAAAATTTTATATATGTGTGTGTATATAAATAATTAAACTCATATGCCGCCTGACTCTCAATGACTCTGGGTGGCTCACAACAATCAAAGAAATTACAATAAAACCTAAAAAATAAAGAAAAAAAATCTCTATCTCAGGAGTGTTTCGTGCTCACTACATTCAGTTACCTTACTGAGGTACTATTTCTACAGTACAGTACTATACTATTTCTACAGTAAATAGCAGAATGCAGTTTTTGAATTATGTAACGATTTCAGAAGATACATTTTCTGTTTTGCAGTGTTAGTAAATAAAGGTTCCAATTTTAATTTTTAGCAAACCTGTCAGTATGCCATCTCCAGTTTCACCGAAATTGTCTCCAGGGAATTCAGGAAATTACTCATCAGGGTCAACCAACCCTTCAGGGAGCGCTTCTTCAGTGACTATTCCACAGAGGATACATCAGATGGCAGCAAGCTACGTCCAGGTTACTTCCAATTTTCTGTATGCCACTGAAATTTGGGACCAAGCAGATCAGCTTGCCAGAGAACAAAAGGGTAAGATTGGGTTGCATTAATTTACATTCAGAGGGATTGATCTTTTTTCACATTAAAAAGTAAAAGCATCATTGCTGCTGGTTCAGTTAAAGCAATTAAAATTTTAATGTGTTTTCCAATCTCTTTTGGATTATAGTTTCATAAAATTAGCAAGACATGACTTTATTGCTTTTGTTTTGGGAGATGTTATCGGAAATGATGTAGTTCAATCTGATTATTTTTCTTCTTTTCTACAGAATTTTTTGCTGAACTGGACAAAGTTATGGGCCCTCTGATTTTTAATGCAAGTGTTATGACAGACCTAGTACATTACACCAGACAGGGATTACATTGGTTGCGTTTGGATGCCAAGTGATAACTGGACTGAAGAAGTCTACAGCATAGAAGAGACTTATCTTGCTGCCTCTGATTTTTTTTCAACACTGTGTCATAAAAAAATAAGGAAGACTGCCATAATGAAAGCAAAGAAAGTGAAATCAAAGAGAAAGGAACACTTTCCTGTGTCTCCCAGCATCATGTGTGTAAGAACCTCCAAACATCGTGTTAATGAACTTTTTCAGCTGACCCCATTTTAAAAATATTTAAAAATAGTTTAAACTCTGCAATGTTTTAATATAAGGTGGATTCGTTGATTTGCAATTGGATCGGAATTCTAATAATTATGCCTAACAAATCTGTTTTAAAACTTATTTATTTTAATTTGTTTTTGAAAGCTGTATTTTGGGGCTGGTTTAAAACTTAGCTGTTTTTCCTATGAATTTTACCTAATCAAGTACTTAGTGAAGATTAAATGTAGACACTTTATTTAAGTATTCTGTGAGCTTTGTTATTCTGTAATGTCTTGTGATGGTGGAGCTTGTAAGAGAAAGTCAGGGTTGATAGATTCTAAAGTGTAGAGACATATTTTCATGCATATTTAAGTCAACCCTTAATGATGGCCACAGTTTTATTGATGTGCTAAGTTCCAAGGTTATAACTTCATCATCAATTAAATCATTTTAAGTCAAAATATTCAAGGATTTGTATGGAAAATCAGTTTTGAAACACATGTCTTAACACTAATAATCTCAGTACATTACAAAACGTTGCATTTAATGCAATATTCAAAGTGATGTGGGTCACAATGGACTTCAGTCTCCAAGTATAAAGTAGGAATGGTTTCAGATGGACAATCTTGTGCTTTGGTGCAGCCTCTTTATTTCCTTGCTTGCAATTGTTAGACACCAAAGCTTCTAACAGTAATTCCTATGTGAAACTGATGTGCTTCATCAGAAAATGCAATGTGTGACAAACATCTGTCTTTTGTCTCCGTCAGAATTATGTAATGGACAACACGGGGTAGAGAGTAGACCTGTGATTACAGGGACATTTTAAGCTGTTTGGTCTAGTTAATTTGAAATTTTGCTTTTATGCCATTCTGTGGCACATTCATTAATGTTAAATGTTTGTGATGGGAACAGAATATTTAGTTATAAAGAAATAACTGTGATCAGCAAGAATCATGCATGGAAATCTGCTTTAAGGTTACTAAGCAAGGTACCTTTTCATAGAAGGTGCTTATCTGACTAAAAGAAAAAATACTGCTTTAGCGTCCCTATCATGTCTGGTGTGCCTTATGCCTTTTTAGATGAAGATTTTAAATACTGTTTACAAGAGGTTTTACACTTAGGACCCAGTATTATTATATCCAGTCGGTCTCCAGCAGTAAAATTGTACTTCCTTTTCCTAATTCTAGTGGCTGTCATTTGTTGACAATACATGTTTCTTGTGCTTTAGAGTCAGACTTTAAACCCTTTCAGTGTGGAATTATGATATGCTGCTTTGCCTGCCCTTGTCCCTAAAACCCACCCAGATGTGAACATGCATGTTCAAGAAAACAATTGCACTAAAATTATGTCTAGCTGTATAGCTATGTGCCAAAATGCTGGCGAGTTTTGAAAGAAGGATAGGATTTTACATCAATTAGTATTGCAGTGTGTCTTTGGGACAGTGAAAGTTCAGTAGCTTCATAAATTATAATAACTAAACAATAGCTTGTATATTCATAGAGACTTGTATCCTGATGGGATACATGTTTTCTTTTATACCCTGATTCTTTGGATCTGTTAGGTTGAAATTGCTAATCACTTGATTTGTATTCATAATCGTTATAGCTTACTGTTGCACCCTGCAGCACAAGAATGCATTGTGAGAGCAGAAGAAAAAATCATGTAGGCACATCCATACAGCATTTCTTTTTATACAGAAAAATATATTATGGTTTTGTCATGTAAGTGATCAAATTATCACTGTAAATTTTCTTTGTGCAAAATCAGTTAATCAATAATGAGAAAATCCGTATGTCTGTATGAAATTGCAACATACTCGTGTTTCTTTCAGTCAGTGTGAGCAGCTGTCTTGGGGAAGCTTCTTTAAATCACTCCCTTAGCAAACAGCTCATTGTATTTACTCTCACCACAGAGATTAAAGTGTTTCAATTAAAAAAAAAATTTTTTTTAGCAGGCTTCCAGTGTTTATTTCATGTGAGCTGCTTGAGTAAAAATATCAATTGTGAAAAGCAATTTTAAAATATATGCATTTTCATAAACTATAGATTCCAGAGGAAGAGCACAGATTCCTGCTAGTATCCAATAATAAATAGCTAATTTTCCATGACTAATTTTCCTGCTAATATCAAAAGTCAACATCCTTGACATTTGAAAGTGCCTGACACATTTATTATAGTGAAACCTTTACATCATCCTGGAGTGGATTATAGGCTCTTTTCTTATAAGGTGCTGCAATGATCATTTGACTAATTTGCTTGCTTTTGTACCCATTTAACATAGACTGGCAGTAAGAAGATGTCTCTTTTTTATCTATTGTTTTTAAAACTAGAATAGTATATATCAGACTGAATTTTTTTATATATCTCCAGATACATCCTAAGTATTTGTCTTTTTATTAATTTAGCAAGGCTTCTCTAGGTTTAAATATACTTAAGCTACAGTGCATTATCTGTTGTAATATATGCCTCATAGAGGTATTATCTGGGTGTCCTAAATAAACAGGGATACTGTTCTTTCTCCAATTCAAGGATCAGTCCAGTTTTCAACCAACTGAAATCAAATTATCAACTTTTAAAAGACCATCTAATTTAAGAATTCAATTGTCTCAGGAGTGCATGAGTAATTTGCCAAAGTTAATTGTTAAGTGCAAGGAAGTAATAAACTTTTTAAAGTGCAAAGGCAAGTGACTGTCCTTAATCTGCGCTTTATTGGGTTGGACTTAATCTGTATTGAACCCATCGCGTGTACATCTTGAGCACTAACAGAGATTGTTCAATTATTTTCATTTGAAAACTCTGGAATATTATATATTATCGAGTCCATGACTGAGTATTAACACATATCAGTGTTTTAGTATATCCCAGTGATGCGTCTTTATAAGATGGCTTAATACTGTACATCTGAGTGAGCAAAATGGCTTGCTTCGGTGCACACGTAATTTTGATTCTCTCCGCTGCCCCCCCCCCAAAAAACCCTTGCTGGGTTTTAGGAGAAAAATTCCTGAATGGTAGCATGAAATCTACAAGAGGAACTTGAAATGTTTTGCAAGAGTGCTGGCAGTGAATTTGTCAGACAGTGCTATATCGAGAAGTTACAAAAGTTTCACTTTGGGGGTTAGAAATAGGTTAGAAGACAATTGGCACATTCCAAACTAAAATCAGTGTTCTGATGGCAGATCTTGTCTAGGACCCAATGATTTTGTAGATACTTGGCTACTTCATTTTGTATCTTAAATGAATATTCAGAGTTCTTAGACTAAATGACCCAACATGTTCAGATAAATTTAAATCTCTTACCTATAAAGAAGAGCAAATGGCTGTAGACCTTTTGACAGCAGTATGCAATTTGTAATATACATGTTTCTAATACATATATCTACATGCATTAATAGATGAAATCAAGCCTGTTCAAAGTTTGTTATACATGTGTTAGATTATAGTACATCTGACTATATCAGTATATTTATTGAGTGCTGAGCCATCCTCATTTTGATGATGGCGATAAATTTTGCATATTATGCAGGAATGCTTTCAGTTTCTTTAGATTATTGAAGCTTGATTGCTGTGATTTTATACAAAACAACCCCTATAAAGAGTGTTATGAGTGGTTGCAGTCATATGGAACCAATAAGTATATTTGCTTGCCTAAGGCAAGTCACAGCTGCAGCAGATAACTATAGTTTGCCAAATTTGGCAGTTTATGGGAAATACTACCTTTGCTATATATATTAATAATCCCTTGCACTGTCATCAACCCTGCAGTATTTTTTATTAAAGTGGCTTAAATGGGCCTGAGCAAATCAAGTTGAATACATTTTACTAATGGAAGGAGAAGGCAACATCCAAACCCTATGATAAGAGTCTTGAATAGCAAATATTTCATAAATATTTGGGTCAAGGACATAATGATTTTAAATTGAGCAGAAATCAGTATTGTGGGAAATTTGAGTTTTCAGTAATTCAACAGTATACTTTACTAGTGAATACTACTATACAACTTTACTTTTTCCCTAGGCTGTAGCAAATGCAGCTTAGCTGTATAGTACAAAGCATGATGATCAGTTTCATTCTTTAGGATAAGTTCTGGGTATTTAGGGCATTTTAAAATAGCAGTGATGGGAGATAAATTGTTAGTAATCTTACTGGAGTGAGGCTATCCTGGAAAAGGCAAGCATTTTTACTAAATGCTTTCATGCCCTCCACACTTACCGATTGATCTGAGCTTTGAACAAATTCATTTGCACCACTGCTTCCACTTAGAAACTTGTGGAAATTATTGAAAGGTTGGCTTTACTTCTTGGTTCCATTTAAAAACCTATTGGCAAAGCATTTTGTTTCTGATAATGTGACTGCAAATAGAACTTATACTGGCATATTGGACTCAAAACCATTTCCTCTCTCTTAGTTTGTAAATAACATCAAAACTGCAGCCACTGTCCCATGATGATTGCATTCAGATGCCTGAAAACCTGGCTGCATGGCCCAGGCATAGTCTCTGCAAGCACATTTGTATCAAAACCCCCTTTTAAATGGTTTTAAGAAGTTTTGTATATGGAGGATAAAGTGCTTATATATTTATTAAAGATTCTTTATCTTATTTGAAATTATTTGGTAAAGAAGGTTTTCTTTTCGTTTGGACAAACTTATGGGATGGGGTGGGAGAGAGGTTATTTGTACCCTTTTATCTTTTTTTATCTTTTTTTAAAAAAAACAACAACCTTGAACATGAATCTTGGTACTGATTATGACTGGCAGTATGGCTGTCTGTTGTGTGCATTGTACATGCCATGTCCATGTCTTACATTTTGTTACTTATTATTTAGTCATCTGTTCTCAACCAAAACTTTTAAAGTAAAACTGTGATTTTTTTTCCTTTCCTTTCCTTTGCAATACATTTGAAATTTCAAAAGGGTACTTTGGGGCTCCAAATTAGAATTTCTAAGTCAGTATGTGCATTTCACGTATGTTAATGGTGAGCAAAGTATTATATACTAACTAGATTTTTTTCCACATCTGTATAGTATATTCTATGTATTTTGTGGTATTGAGATTATAGAAAGTTTAGTGTCTGAAATATGCGTTTAATGTGTATTTTTAAACAAATTTATGGCAATTAAATATTTGGAGAAAAGGGTATCACATTTCAATTTGTAAAGATCTTTTTAACTACTGTGTCATTAAAATGCTTTGTACAATGCAGAACTGTAACTGGAGAAACTAAGTTTAATAAATATCAAATAGATTTTCTGTATTAAACTTTATAAGCACTGTGCTTGAATTAATCCTTTAGTATGAGCCTTTCTGCCATGGAACTGCACATTGGATCAGAAAATCTTTTCTGTTTGAGAATGGGAGCAATTATGAGCTGTCCTCTCATTTCCTGAACACAGAATAGTGGGAAGGCAACAGGACATTTTATCCAACTAATGTATTTAAATTCACCCAATTTAAGTATATTAACGTGTTTAAACTCCTACAATTATCACTGAAATATTTGCATTAAGCTGATTGCAGCATTACCCACTACGCAATGAAAGTTTGAAAGCCATAGGAAAAATTAAAAAGGGAAAAAACCTGGAAGAGTGTTGAAATTGGTGGTATTTAAATGCCTGTTGTTAATAATTTAATAATATGCTTTAAGTGCTTCATTAAGGCTGGAAGGTTTTTGAAAACTTCTAGCACTATTAATGATTAGATAGAGTCAGAGTCTTGTCACTTTTGCTTCAGAAGGGTCAACTGTTGGAAAAGTCCATTTCTTCTCAGAATATTTTCATTGTATCTTACTGTTATGTGTCTTTCTCTTTTGGCTGGTATGCAAGACAAATATCAAACTGTAGTTGCTCTTACAGATATTTAATTTTTTTGCACAGAAAAAAGTACAAATAAAATAAAAGATAAAATCAGTTGAAGCTATTGTAGCTTGGATAAAAGCCCACCTTGGAATAAGATGGAAACTAAATTAGCATGTATTTCTGCCATGTGAAATTCTTTCATCTGTCCATACAACTGAAGCATTAATTGAAAAACATATATATATATCAGGAGAGGTGACAATAAATAAACAAGGGGGAGCATCATCCAAGGTAACAGCTTGTTCTTCTTAGGACATAATTACTCTTGCAATATTCTTAAAGAACATTGTTTGTTCCTGCAAAACGAAACAAAAAAGCAAAAGAAAAGAATCAATCTGCTTACTATTTTTAGTCACATTAAGACTAACCCACATATAAGAAAGGATCTAGTATTTTAACAGTACTTTCTGTAATACTAAAGCAAATGTTACATGAGTTTAAGTACTTTGTTTCAGGAAAGCAATAGTGCTACCAGTAATTTCTTATTAGCTCATTTTTTAGAGTTGCACATCCAAATGGGAGATTCTTGTTCTTGATGGTAATGATGTACAGTTGCAAGGAATAAGAAATGTATCAATATAGTTAAACCAGTTTTCATGTTAGATTGTCCTAGAATTACTTGCCTGCATTACATTTTCCAAAATGTTTTCAATCTGTACTGTAATATATTAAAAAAAAAATACTGTTTAACGTTTTCAGTTCTAACATTAAATAGAAAATATTTTGTAAATGAAGTCTAGGTTTGTAATTCCTTTTGTATTGATTTTTTGCTTCTGCTAATTTACAGACTTGGAGAGACAATAATTTATTTTATCTTCCTGCTATTCAAGATGACCTGATGATTGCAGTCATCCTAACAGTAAAAACATTTGCTGGTCTGTATGAAAGTCCTTTTTATTTCCAGGCATGAGAAGGAAATTACCTGCACAAACTTGTGAAGCATTCACTGTTATCCCTGCATGGTGCTCCAACTGGTCTTGAAAGTCCTCTCCAGAAGGGTGTCATTCTTTTTGGCCTAACAAGCTGAGCATTTTGTGGATGCAGCAAGGCACAGTGTATCTGAAACATAATTATAATCTGGCTGTTTAATATGATATTGAAATCTGTTTGGACATTCAGCCCTTAGAATTCTCTTCAGACTTGACTCAGATCATATCATTTCTGTATGGAATCTGTAACAGCTTGCCTTTTCTGTACAGAATTCTCTAAATAAGTGATCATTTCAAAACTTGCTTTTCACACCTGCAGAAACTCATGTAGCCTGCACCTTCGTGTTAGCCATTTTCCACACTTACATATTAACAGTATTTGCAGACTATCCCAATTGTGAGACTCTTTTCTTTTTTGAAAAGAAAAGGCAAAACCAATTATTAAAACCAGCAATACAAATCTATACATATCTACCACAATAGACTCCCATAAGTCAGGGCCAAAAGGACAAGATGTCTCAGTCATCATCAATCTCTTCTCCAAAAAAGCCAGGTTTTACAGCTTCCCAAATAAACCAATGTGACAGAAATCTTGGGAAGAATGTCATTCCAAAGGATGGAAGCCATAACTCAGAAGGTTTGTCCCCATAGTCTCTGAAGATGACATTATTTAGAAGAGACCTGGAGTAACCCACCCTTCCTGATCTTACAGGTAGACAGAAGCAATTGGAAATTGATGTGAATCATTCCACTGAGGAAGAAGTCTAGCATTGCAGCTAGTAATAGCTGATTCCCGGAGTCTCTTGATAATGGCCCTTCAGACATTGAGCAACTTCAGATTCAGGCATATCTTAAGCATAAAATATATGTTGAAATACATTTGCCTGACAATTTTGAAATTCAAATGCCAGTTACGTCCTTACCTGAAGCAGCAGGACTGAACAAATTGAGAAGATTACCACAACTTTTAAACACTGCATCATTGGATTCTTTTTGGCCCATCAAGATTTTTCTCAAAAGGTAATGAACACACCTGAACATCCTCATTCAGCTTTTATAGATGGAAGTCCCCATTGCATCACCTGCCAGCTCTAAGGGACAAAGATCACCTTAGAGACAAAAAAATTAATAAGTTAATGTCTACTAAAGTGATAGTCCAAGGTCTGTCCTATAAGCTAAATATATTTATTTTTCAAGCACTTGTACCTTGATCAGTGTATCATACATGCCAACTGTTCCCTTTTAAAACCTAGATTTCAGTCAGTGTTTCATTGTGTATTTGTAAGTGGGTCAATGGTCAAAGCACAAAGAATAAAACTGATGCTATTTTCTTACTGTTTCTCAGACTTAATTACATAGGAAAAAACTACCAGTTGCATAACATGAAAAAGAAAACAGCGTAGATTTTTTAAAAAGCTTCTATACACTGGTGCCTCTTTACCGTCATCAAACAAATACACAATAAGCATGCATATACACACATTTGGAAGTGATAAAATCCAAGACTGATTTCTCTAAAAGATTGTTGAATGAAACAACTCAACCCTTATTCTTCTGAATGTGTGGTAATAATACATTTTTAAACTTTTCTGCAAAAGTTCATAATGTTCAAGTTCAGAATTTGCTTCAATTGTTAATTCATTGGGAGTATCCCTAGGAAAGCTACATCATCTCAGCCTCACATTGAATGTCATCACTTATCTGAAATATGGAACTCTTGTAACAATTTAAAGATTGTCTACAATATTACACATTTATTTTTCCTCTTTAATAAGTTCAGGCCACAGGATATCCTACTGTATCTGTGCAAAAACATATCTGCAGGAGGTTATGGCAAGATCAGTATGAGTGTTGTGCTTCCATTTGCATGTAGCTTAAATTTTCCCAGTCCAACATCAACAGGAACATTAGCGATTATGGCTTGAATACAAACTGCTTCTGCAGAAGTAGAAAGAACTTCCAGAAGTACAATACTATCTCCTGATTTTTGCCAGCTCCCTCTGTGTTTTACATTATTTATGAGACTTTCCCAAAATCCTTTTTTAAAAAGCGTGAGATGATTTTCCCATGCTTACTTTTAGAGATGAACACTTTACATCAGTTTTTCTAAACCTGGTGACCCTACATGTGTGCAAGAATTCAGGATTCTCAGAGTGGTCATAGTCATGACACATCTGGAGGAATTTCACAAAATATACTTCCACACACCTGGAAGGCTACCTTGATGTGTTTGTGGGGCTTGCATGCTCTGAGGAAGTTGAGACCTATGCCAGAGGTTCAACCATTCTGGACAGGTCTCATCAGAGGAGCCAGACGAAGAGTGTCTCTCCCATAAACAATATGGCGAGACATAACTTACAGAAACCTATACAGATCGGTCATCACTCATATCAACAAGGGCTGCCCTAGGTGTTGAAATTTCTGGATATCTGGTGACAAGTGGACTACAGGACTCAGGACTGTTGGCTGAGCAACCAGGGCTAGCAGCTATAGGACTACTGGAAGAAAAGTTACTTATCCATTGCAAATATACAAAGACTGAAAACAAAGAAATAATGATTTGCTTTTACAAATCAAGTCCAGTGAGAACAGGATATCTGAAGAGAATGCACCAGTTCTGAAAAGAACATCCAGAATCAGAAATAATAGAACAGAGGCTAGCAGATCAACGTCAATTTATAATACAAAATAAAGTAGTCACAGAAGTAGAATTGGAAGAACCGCAAAGGGCTACCCAGGGCAAAGAAATTGAAGCCTTGCCAGAAATAGCTCAGACAGTAGAGACAAACCAGGGAGAGTTGGCAGCAGAGGAAGCCAATATTGCTATTGAATCATTTGCACTCCCAGATAAGGCAGCCTCTCCTCTACTTTCTCCTCAGAAAGAACAAGGCCCTCTAACAAAAAAAAAAGAAGAGGAACTGAAACAAAGAATAACTGAGCATCTAGAACAGCACAAAAAGAACAAAATAAGGTTGCCTGCATTAAAGCTTGTTACAAAGAAAGAGCTAGCACAAATATTACAAGATGCCAACACTATATCAAATATAAGCACCAGCTCACTGCAAGAAACAAACCAACTGATGTACAGCACAGCTGCAGTTATAACTGAAGATCTTGGATGCAAAATCAACAAACAAGAAAAAAGTAAATAGTGCATCACCAAAATGGAAAATAAGATCCGCATGCTAAGTTTAGTTGCAAGCAAACAAAAACAGATGAAAAAGAAGCTGAAGAACAAGAAGACCAAAGAATACCTGATCAAGAAATGTCACCTAGAGACAAAGAAGGTTAAGGAAACACTGGAAATAAGAAAGCAGCAAATAACAGCCATAGCCAAAAAGATCAGCAGATATGAAGCTCGAATTGCGCATTATAGGCAGAATCTCCAATTTCAGTCAAATCAGAAATGTTTCTACCAATCCATCAATGGAGAGACTGCAATGAACCAGTCAACACCTGACAAAGAAGAAACAATGCAGGTCTGGGTGCAGCAGTTATAGGACAACCCAAACAAGAATGCAGCTTGGATAAAAGAGGTGGATAAGAATAAAAAGAAAACAACCAAGAAAACAAGAAAACAAGAAAACAACCAAGCTCAGAGAACCCCAAGGGCTCCACAT